TTCCCAGCATCAGTATGTGCAGTCTAAGCTTACATTGTTGAGTTATCGTTTATTCGTGATCTTGAAACAAAAAAAAAGAAAATGGAAATAAATAAATAAAACAACAACAACAAGCCCCCCAAAAACAAAAAAACAAAAAGCGGAGAGGGAGAAAAATAACCGATATGTATCAATTTCGCTAAATAACAGAATAACAGAATTGAACAGGGCCAGTTATATATTTAGGGGGGATGGTTTACCGATGATATCACTAAAAAATGGGCTAGTTTCACAGAAATTAACGTCCTCAATACACTAGATTGATACAAACTATAAACAATCAAAGCAACACGACTTTAAGATTATAGCCTGTTAGCATTGTAAGTTTATAAAGTGCTCCTCTTTGTGCGGATGCATTCCAAGACTGCTTTCTTTGCTCATGTTTACTCAGAAGTCTTTTTAAAGAACGTGAGCATATTGCCAACATAGCCATTGCTTTATATGGTCATCGAGAAAAACACTCAGATAAGCCTTACAGCAGGTTAAAGCTAATCTCGGTAAATCCCGATTAAACCACATTGGGAAACATAGGTATTTATAACTGAAGTGCGTGGGCTGTTTTGAAGTGGTCCATCATTCCTGCCATGATATAAAGGGGTCAAGTAACGACCTCGGCGACAGCAACAGAAAATTGAACAAAAGTGGAATGGTTAATAATAAAGGCTGGTTTTCACTAGAGACGGAGTCGGATAGGAGTCATAATCAGAAGCGTAGAACTTTTAACGATCTAGTGAAAACGGCGTTCCGATTCTGTTTACGACTCCGTCGCTACACTAGGTTGTCGGAGTCGCAAGCAGAAGCAGAAGAACTAAACCGATCACAAAGCTTGAGAACTTGCATTGTGATTAGTTTATCCTTCCGCTTCTGCTTCAAACTCTGACAATCAGCTGGTTTTCATCAGATCGTAAGCTACAGAGTCCTGAGCGGAGTCGGAAGAAAAGTGATTCTTCCGTCCGCCTTAACCCTCGGCCTACCTTCAACCAGGGGGAACTGGAAGCTAGTTTGCGTTCCTAGCTTGGTTACTAAGCAGCATGGCCAACCTCGTCCCCAGGGTCTTCTCGCTTTCCAATATGGCGGCGGCAGGAGAGAAGACCCTGGCACACAGCAGAAATCACGTGACTGATTTGTCCACAGAGAGTGGAAATTTATTCAAAATGGCGGCCAAGGTAAAGACTGAGAGGATCTGGGACGAGGTCTTGAGACTTACGAAAAACAAACAAAATGGCGGCAAAGGCAAACGTAAGAGAAGCTAAAAATATGAAAGAATGCACTTAAAAGCCACAGGAATACGGTAGAATGATATAGCGATCTTATTTTCTGTTCAATGACCTTCATTTATTTTAAGCCTAAACGTTCTAGCGTACACGGCACTTAACAACTGTCTACAACTTTAATAATTTCTGGATAGCGGTCTTTCTTCACTGTTTTCTTTTTTTGCCTACCCTGAGTGCCAGAGGTTCAGTTTTCTTCTTTCGTGAAAGGGGGAGCTTTTTCTAACCGTGAGGGCAATTTATTTCATCTTAGGAATTTCGAGAACACACCTCTGAAGCCAGGAAATTTTTTGTCATGACGCCCTAAAACCTCTTCCGCTCCGAAATTCAACAAGGCATTAAATTGAGTCGCAGACACTTTACCGAATACTACGAAAAGTTATGTCAGTTTTGTTACAGGTCTTCGTGAGGTTTTTGACTATTGTTTTCTATCTGTACACATTTTTACTGAACTCTGATATGCAAAAAACAATTTTTTTTTCTGAAAACAAGAACTAGAGAACACTATTTTGTTAATATAATTTGAGGAAACTTTGGTTGAAAATTAAACAGTTCCTTGTTCAGTTTGGATATTTTGTCACTTGATCTGGTACAGGTAATAAAATTATTGTCATCCCTCATCTACTTTACAGTTTCTAGACTTTCTTATTGGCTTTTGATATCTAACCCTGTTCACAATGCTTCCGGGTAATATTTATTTAATCTAGCAAAGACGCTGTCATTAGTTCCCCACAAAAAAAAATGCCAAGTAAAAAAAGCCCAAGGACAAGAAGGTTGGAGGTCAAGCAGCTGAGGATCAAAAACAAATCCGAACTTCCAGCTGGTGAATAAACCATCCTGGATCGGTCCTTACAAAGTTTTACAGTTGTCATTGATTGATAGTCTTTTATTTATTAGTGAAGAATAAGAAAAGCGGGGGGGGAGGTGGAATGGGGGACTTATTGTTAAAACTTTCATCCACTGAAAAGGAGGGCTTATTTGAGAGAGGGAGCCTTAATAGAGGATTTAAGATGCTCTTATTATTGTTTTTTTTGCCTCTCAGATGTAAAAAAAAGCATTAACCCCGCTTCAATAGCTAGCAAAAGGTGAAGAATGCTTCCATTGTTTGTAATATAGCAATCCAAAATGTATTTTCCACTTTGAAGTAGATTTGATTTTTAGAGCAAAAACTTTCTTAATCCCTCATGACTTTGGTTTATTTTACATATTACTTGGGGCTGCACTTTGCCATTGCAATGTGCAAATTGACTAAAGGCTAGACTCCAGTTGTTCAAAAATTTGATTGTCCTATCTGAGTCATGTGCACTGTAAAATTTCCTATCTGATTTGGAGATAATAGATCCTTTAAGTCAAACATGCTTTGCTCATCAGATGGGCCATTTCGTACTCTAATTGAGACATGACTTGGTAGTGGTGTGCTGATTATCGCTCATAATCTATCATTGATCAGAAACCTAAAGCAAAGTGAGTATTGCTTATACAAATGCTCAATTGATTGTTGTGGAAAATTCACAAAAACATTGTTGACAAATAAGGACATTAATACACCTGTGTTGTCTTTTTGATGGGCTCTTAATGTAGTTTATATGATGTTTAGTTGGTTTTTAAAACTATGTGACAGATAAGCATCGGCTTGCAGGGTAGGTTTTTTGTTTTGTTCACTTACAAAATTATTTTCAGTGTTGAAAGTGGCACACAGGGGTCACAAATCTATAATCTACTATAATCGATTATCAGTTTAATAGTTGGGTTAATCTGATTATTTCTGATGATATGATTGTGATACAGACACTATGACTAAGACTAACCAACACCTTAAAGTAGACTTTGGAAGTATTTAAGCCAGCACATCTAACAGCTGCCACCTCACAGCCCAACACCTAAACAAGCTAAAAGCCTTGCCTTGTCCCTGTGTGGCATTTTCCCAGGCCTTCTTGGTCAATTCATTTCGGTGATGTATCTTAGGCAAACTGGAGGGAAACTGTTTCACTATTTCACTTGGGACCACGTGACGTGAGACTCATTGGCCGTGACTAGGCAACTAAAAGCTCACTATGCTACTGGGGACTCTAGCGCACAACACTTCAAAAGCCTTACATCCCTACATGAAAAATCCCATGATCAAGACGCTGCAGGCCCCTTCCGCTCTTGTTTATTCAGTGGATAGTGATATATGCACCCTTTGAAGCAGTTTATTTTTTTAAATCCAAGTTTTAGAACTGAATTATAGCTGCTTCATAATCATACCCAGTTGGTTTTGGAATACTATAATGCCAGCCACTATTTCACCTGGTCCACAAACCCCCTTTTCAAGCATATAGTGACAAGAACAACATGTACACTTAGCCTACAGTAATTAGAAGCTCAATTAACAGGTTTTGGTTTGACAGAAAACATATTTATCTTAGGATCACTGTCACCCTATGTAAGGGAATCCGGAATCTGGGAAATTTTTCTCTTGGGATCTGGAATAAAGGTCAAGTACTCTAGATCCCACTTATAATTGGAATCCGGAATCCAAGTTCCACTGACAAAGAATCCAGAATGCAGTATCCATGGTGTAGAATTGAGAATCCAAGACTGTCAGATTTCCTTGCATGGGCTGATCACTGTTTTCAACTTGATAAAATGAAAAGACATCATGTGCTTTCATTATTTTATTTTTGCAACTAGAAAGAAATCCCACAAGCTTCAAACATTAATATGAAAGTTTTTCATTTCTGAGAAAAGGAAACAGTTTATTTTCCTAAGTCTCTGTATTTAGCTGTATTTTACTGCCAATGAAATGAGCAAATAATAATAAATTATCATCATTGTGACACTGAAAACTGAATAAATGAAAAGTCAGGATTAAAAATATCAAAGAATATCGACACTATGTTTGGCTTCAATTTTTAGTTTTGTTTCGACATCTGCATCTCTCACTCCTCATCCCCCTTCAAAATCACCGTGGAAAATATTAAAAGAAGGCCAGGTTAGGCCCATGCATGTTACGATCAAATGAAAAAAAATGTTTCACTCGACAAAAAACTGCTGAGACAAAGCACAGATTATGCAAGATTTCCGTATAACCCCATACATTAATAATATTATGCATACAGCTATTGTTCTAAGAAAACAAAAGGCAGAACAATACTAAACCTTTACAAACGGACAGCTAAATTTATTGATAAGCTGAAGCCTTGCAAGTATTCTTTCACATATCGGGAATCAAAGAAACAAATCTTTAGTAATTTAGAATCGAACACACAAACCAAATAGCACGAGCAATACCTCTACGCCTCATAATATTCCCAGCGATTACCATTTCAGATATCACTATCTTCGAATCTTTGCCTTCCAACGGTACAGTCACAGTTTTCCGAACAATCAGACCTGAATTCTGTCCACCATTTCGGTCTCAAACACTGAAGAAAGCACTTCTCAGCCTCTACGAAGCCCTCAAAGGATAACCATCTTTGTTTTGGAATGAATAAACCAATGAGAGCGCACGTATGAACGCGCAACAGAATGCACCAATCAGCGATCGTTTTAGTTCGCTGTGTGCCAGGGTCTTCTCTCCTGCCGCCGCCATATTGGAAAGCGAGAAGACCCTGGGGACGAGGTTGCAGCATGGCAAATTCATTCAAAATGGCGGGAGAAACAAATCCTCGGTGATAAAGGAGATTTCTGACAACAAAGCACGTTATAATGCAAACTTTGGACGTCTATAACAAGGAGGAAGGAAAAATTTGGCAAAGGAAACCATCTCCGTCTCCAGAGGAAGGGTGAGATGGTATTTATCTGGTGTTTGAATCACTCCAGCTCGGCTGCTCAAAAATAAGTTAACTTAAGCTTTTAAATGTTTTCGTGTCATTTGTTCATTTCTAGTTTAATTGTCTCCGTAAGCCATTCCACTACCAGTGCCTTTTCATTACAAGGAAGGAATATCAGATTCCTTCGAACAGCGTTCAATACAACTGGTGAAGCGTTCGCCGCTGGTGATCATCAAGGAAACATTTTCGTCTTCGACTTAGGGAAAAATAGGTAAGTGAATCGAAATTAAAAATCAAGTTCTAATGAACAGCGGAATGAACGATCGCTAAGCTTGTAAACCTGCCCAATGTGTTTAAATACAATTGTTATCAGGTAGAAATTACGTTAAGCGTCTGCTTCCAATTATGTCTTGATTATAAAGATGCTACTTCAGTATATGTACCAAAATTTTCTGAGATACGCAGGCACTACCACTTCACAAATCTTCAGATTGTTTTGAATACCCAAAAAATCCCTACTTAAACTAAGCCACCTAAAAAAATGCTCACCAAATTTCCTACCCCAAAAAATCCAGTAATCGAAAATTTCAAACCCCCAAAAATCCTTCTATCATCCTCGTTACTTGAAATATGGAGTACATGTACCCTTCCTGGGTATATACAGTGTACTCAGACACCTCTACATATGTATTAAGTGGACTCTATTAAACTTCCTGTGGGTGTCTACTTAACCCTTTAAGCCCTAATATCCACTTACAAATTCTCCATACATTTCCTTAAAGAATTGGTAGAGAGATTCCTTGGTTGATCATTTTATTTAATAATTCTCATACCCTTTTCTCTTGATTGTGTATTCAAAAGATATTGTAAGGAGAAAATCAATGTTGGTCACTCTTGGGACTTCAAGGATTAATACTGGTTTTGCTGTGTTATTAAAAAAAATTGAACCACAGGAATGAACCAGATCTGTAAACTGCACAAACTTGATTTATTCACTTTCCTCCTTCAGATTTTCTTTGATTCACAAAACAGGAACACCATGTACTGCCATTTCCTTTTGTCTCCGGAGAAAAAATGAAGTACTTGTGGCCCTTGCTGATAACTCATTAAGGTGCTATGATATAGGTAGGTATTGGACAGCTTACAGCACTCATGCCAGGAAAAAGTGAAGATCGGCTTTCTCACACACTTGTCAATGAACCGTTGAGCATCAAAGAGCTGTTCATCAAGGACAGTGGGCCAGTTTCAGCTGATGGTAAACTTGCCAACAGTTGGCTGTCAGTTCTGGTAATCTTAGATCTAAAAGTAATTGTTGATTATTGGCCATGTTGTCAGTTTCAATGTACAGTGTACCTGTTTGTGATATTTCCGTACTTTGTTAGTTTGAGGTTGTCACACTGTCCCCCACCACCCTTCCCCCCACTTCAAAAAAAGTTCTTTCCAAACTCTTAATTGAGCTCACTGGCTTATAGCCAGTAATTCTCTTTGCTATTGTCTGCATAAGAATGAATGAATGTAAGGTCATTTCTATATATTGTTCTTGTATGTACAGTAACACGTGACCTTTGGAGCCGAAGGGGCTTGGTTCTATACCTGCTATCTCCCATTTTTTTTACTCTGTTTTCTAAAGTATTGTTATGACAAGGAGGAATTTGATACTGATTGTTCCTAGAGCTTTTTGAGAAAGTTATTCTCTGTTATTTTAAAAATGTAAGGTGTTTGCATGCATGAGGAATGGTCCTTCAAATACCATATTACTGGAAATGTGCTCTGTTTTTGACTTTTTATGATTCTTGAATTGGTTTAGCAAAATTAATTTCTTTACTATTTCTTTCCATTCGTAACTTCCTTATGTGTTGATTGTTTTTTACTAGTAATGAATATTTTGTAATCATTGGAAGGATTAAACATAGGAAATCACAGTGTGGAAAAGTGCAAATTTTACTATGTAAACATCCAATTAAAATGTCACAAAATATATGCTTTGCATAATTTCAAAACAGATGGCATTATTATAAATTATTACAGTAGTCCCAGAACCGTATCTGTAAAAGTTTTAACTTCGCCTGTGGCCACCAAATGAACCTTACCTCCTATAAGGCACTTGAAGCATGTAACAAACAGTGACAGTGCCAATTAGACGTTGCTACACAATGTGACTACTTTTAAGAACGATTTTGTTTAGCGTGCACATGATTTTTGCACAGAGTATTCATTGCCAGTAAGTCTCAGGGGACTATTTTTTAATATACACTGTAATAGGAACTGTTAAGGCAATGAGTGTATTGAACTAGTCGTGATACCTGCACAATCCTAGCAAGGCTAGACCTGAGAGGCCCTTGGTTGTTCCGACATTTGAGATTACATATCCCTTCTCTGTGGGCAAGATCAGGACTGGCTTGAAGTTGAATGTAGATTTGCTACTGCTAAAGTGTACATAATGTACTCCTGAAAAATTAATTATCTGACTTTCCCCCGCTTCACATACAGTCAACCCACTAATAATTAGTGGGTTGACTGAGGCGGCCATAGAAATTAAGTGTCCGTATTAACAGGGTGTCTGCATTAAGAGGGTTGAATTTAGAGAAAAGTTAAGAGGGCTTTCTTTCCTCAGGGACAAAGCAAGCTGTCTGTAATAATGAGGTGTCTGTATTAAGCAGGTGTCTGTAAAGGGGGTGTTGATGACTGTACTTCCAGTAAGTGCTAGTTTAGTTGAATTAATTGGCTTTACTATTCATCCCATTTTAGAGTCTCATGAATTAGTAAGCTGGATGCGAGGTGATGAATCGTCAATCCACAGTATATCAGTTCATGCTTCAGGTCGTTATGCACTTACGTCATCTAACTCTGTAGCTCAACTGTGGGACCTTGATACTTTTTCTCGCAAGAGGACACTGAATGGAGCACAGACTGTTGGAATCCAACAGGTCAGGATTTACTTGTACATGTACCATTAATTTGTTTTGCTTTGTTTTTAACCTGTTGCCACTTTTTTTATTAGTGATTTTTTTCAATTATTATGTACCATTCATACTTGTTTAAGATAGGAAACAGTGATACATGTATCAGGTTTCTCGACATACAATATATTTGGTAGTTACCACTGAATGCAGTTAGAAAAGCAAGGAGTGGTTGTCTGGAGAAGAGATGCAGAGAAGGAGCAATGCTACACAATACCTGTAGCTGGTTTTACGGTTTGTAGGATAGGTTCACAGGCAGACTGATTCACTACTTTTACTGTCGCTCAACAACAATACCAGGCTTCTTGATGATGAGGGGAAGTTACACTGTAACATTCTCTATAATTCCTTTTTTTCTCAGGTCCTTTTCTTACCACTGAGTAACACCATTGTCACATGTTTCAAAGATGATAGTTTGTTTGTGTGGGATTCAGAAACACTCAAGTGTAAATTTCAGTTGCCAGTTCCACCACAGGAGAGCAAGCAGCATCATTACAGGGCCTTAGCAACCCCTAGGGATGGAAGGTTGCTAGTTGCTGGGGGAAGGTGAATCCTCTATGAGATTATTTTTGCTAATTATTGCATTTTGATAGCTTATACATGCACTGTGTAGCTACATGTATTTAAAATTTGTACAGTAGATCTACACCTTCCAAGAACTTTTGATCATCCGTAGTCTCAGAACTGAAGATACATGTAACATGTTCAAATTAGTTTACAAGTTTTCACCTACTGCTAAATTTGTTTTCATCTTTGAAAGTACATCTTTTCAAAGTACAGAATAATATAATGATAATTAGCCAGTTATCTCCTGTTACCATGTTTTGGTTGAGTTGTACCTGACCATAATTGTACATGTTTTTTGGAAAAAAAATCTCTTCAGATTTTCACGTATATGTATAGGATTGATGTATGAATTCATGACTTACTTGTTTTATGCATGTTAGATTTTGAATGTAAAAATTTTGTACATTTGTATATCACCGATGTTCTGTCAATTTGCATGTAATTGTAATCATTATTGAGTGTCATTTCCAAATCACTTGACAGAAAATTGTAATGATAAATTTTCTTTGTACATGTAACTATCCAGATCTCGATTTCTCCATGTGTGGAGTCTAGAGAACAAGAGTCTTCTTCATGTCATTCAGCTTCCTGCAAAAGTGCGACTTGTAAAGCAACTAGAGTTCATAAACAACAGCTTTGATGGAGGCACAAGTCAGGTAATAGATTGCATGTGCCACAAATATTAATACATGGTCCATACACATTGAAGACAGTGTGTCTAAAATACAGGTCACTTTTCCACAGGTCAGAGTAGGGGTCAGCATGCTACAGATAAGTGAGCAGCATTAAAAGTGTCTCCTAGCCCTAATCTCTTTAACAAAAATGCTCTATTAGATCCAGGGGAATCTGTTTGGTTTGGTAATTTATCAATGGAGCAGTGACCTGTACTCTTGACCTGTGTCATGTGACCTGTACTTTAGACAGACAACATTGAAGTCTGGTGGCATTTCTTTGCTGGAATTGGGTTCTAATTCTCACCACATGTTTCTCTTCTCCTGCATGTCAATGAGACTGTCATTCTATAAAAAGGTTTACACTGGGTTAATGATAATAATGTTCTTGTTGTTGGTGGTGGTGTTTTTGTTCACTCCAAATACTTACAAGTCTACAACGCCTGTAACTTTTGTTAATATTAGCAAGGTTAAGGATCCTGACTGTTTTACATGTAACTGGGTAAATACATCTATCAAACAGTAAAAGGCAGAGGTGATCATGATTGCTAATAAACATAACTTGTATCAGATTCAAGTGATAAAAACCTCAATTCTTGTACCTGGAAAGTCTAGCAAGCATAATATTCTAGCTGGTGAAAAAAAATGGTTTCAAGTTGTCATCACTGCCTTTTGCTGTCAACACTCTAGAGTGTAATGCTTCAGTCTCTCTCGATTGTAATTGAACTCTTTTATCAGACCCTAGGTGTGTTGTCTCAAGATGGCCTCCTGCGTTTTATTGACATTCATGCTTGCAAGCAACTGTTTGAAATAGGTGGTGCTGATGAGGTACTGTATCCTAATGACAAAGTTTTAATTTGCTCTCCTTATTTATCTTTTTTTTATAATATTATTTGTCTTTTTTTCTGGACTTGGCTTGCTTTTCCTCTACATTTGTAGTCCTAATGCTGGCCCTTTATCTTTCCTATTTTTATGAGCGTGAACTTCTGTCTTTTATTCATTTTACCCATCACTATTAACTGTGTCATGTTTGCTATTTAATACATGTAGCACTTCTCCCCAGCAACAAGCTAAGCTAATTTTACATGTACATGTAAACAAAAATGCACGTTGATTTCCCCCCTTCCCAAAATGTCTTTGATATCATTCTCTTTTGGGATGACTGTAATACCCAGGAGAAATTGAAAACAATGCTTTTGAAAATTATTTTTTGGGTAAACAAGGTACATTATGGTTTACATGTATGTGAAAATGGTGAATACAAAATAATTAATGAAAATAATGTTAAAATCAGTGTAACCAGCCCAAATGTACACCGCCGTTGTTTTAAAATGTCTTTGTCTATACAATGTCATGCAGATGATTAGTAACTTCAGCATCAGTCCCAACGGACGGTATGTTGCTGCTGTAATGGACAATGGAAACATTAATGTCTACAGTGTTCCTGCGTTATCTCAACACTTTACCAAGGTAATTTGTACAGAGCCGTGTGTGTATTGCCGACCTATAAAAATTAGGGAGTTTTTGCAACGGCGACGGCGACGGCAACGGCAACGGCAACGAGAACGTCAAACAGCAATAGGTTTATTAAGCAAAACAACAAGTTTGCACGTGCATCACGCTTTTTTGTACATTTCTTTGCCGTTTCTGCACGACTACGAAGCGAAAATGCCTAAATTCACGTTTTATGGAGGACGTAACAAGCGACGACGAAACTTTCTTTCTCTTTCTAAACTGGGGAGCGGTCCCCAAGAAATCAACTCCAGCCAAATTTGGCTACATTAGACATTTTCAGGAAATTGGATAAAAAGCGACAAAGTTTGAAAAAACGCCAATTCATTTTAAAAGTAACGTGTTCGCTGCCGTCGCTGTTGTCGATGCTAAAACTCCCTATCATTGTATGATGTTCCTGGATGCCTATTGCATACCTGTACCATGTGTGCTTTTGTAACCTGATAGATGTATAAGAAAGTTTAGTTCTTGAGTCGCCATTTTTGGCACTAGGAACCATCTTGATACATCGCAAACAGTAACAAAAACTTAACCACCATCGTGCATGCTTGACAAGTTTGACAATCAGTGGAATAGAAAGTGGAATAAAATAAGTGCAGATATTAGATTGAGTTCTTGATTTATCTTTGCAACAGTACCATAATTATCATACATAGTAGGACAATGATAATTTTCTGGTAAGAAGAACACACGAATCATACTAGTTGTCCGGGACAGCTGAATGTACATGACTACCAGATAACATTTCTGCTCACAGTGTCCCATGGACAAAAGTCCAGGCAAGTCATCTTTAAAAAAAAAATAATTCACTGGCCTACTAGGCGAGGATGTAATAGCCTCTGGGCAAGCAAAAATTTTTTCAAGAGCCCTGTTTTAGGGCTAGTTCAGTACTCTGTTGGACATTACTTTCTTTGCACGCTGCATTTTTTGACATTCTCGTTGCCGTCTACGTTGTGACGTCTTAAAATCTCTGAATACGTCACGTAGAGGTATATGAAGTTAATAAGTCTCGTTTATTTTTTATTTTTTTAGCTGTAATTATATTTCACAAGAAAAATTATAAGTACACTGTAACATGATTCCAATTTTTTAACTTTAGCAACTGACCATCCGATGTAATATCATCCGATGTAATATCACATTACTACATTATTACAATGTACAGGGTGCAAAGAAAGCATTTACTAGCAAAGAAAGCATTTACTAGCACTTTTTTTGATAAGCAACATTGTTTTTAGTTTTTTTTTTGGTGATTTGAACGAACTTCACTTGCCCATGGAGCAAGTTAAGAACGGAATTCGTTAGCCCAGTAGCAAAATCCACTAGCCCCGCGCTATTGGCAACGCCCTTCTCTGCTGTATTAACATCTAGTAAAGTGAAGGTCACAGTTATGTATGTTGCTTCTGCTTTATTACAGCCACCCCCACCTCTGGTAAAAACTGTCTGGGAAGAGAGACCATCATCTCGGCAAAGTGGCAAGTCAGGTCGATCACTTGGAAGTATCATGACAAAGGTTGGAGGAACAGCAAAAAGGAGTAAGGTCAAGTCTCCAACCAAAACAACTGCTCAGCGTATTGATGTGTCTGCATCTTGGACCGGTCCAGATTCAGGAATTGAGGTGTGGTGCCATAAAGTTTTTTTATTATTATTTCAAACTTTTATTAAATACTCCACAGCGTTACAATACTGAAGTTGCCTTGCATTGCTCAACATTGCATTACAATACATTACAAATACATTACATTACATTACACCATGAACTTTAACACTAAAGTAACTATACAAAAAGAAGAACGTTCGGAGTACACACGTTATTTGGGGACAGAGTCCAAAGGCAGAGCCCACTTCTTAATGAATTTGTCCATTTTATTTGTTTTAACACACATAGACTTTTCTCTGTTTCATACTTAATTTTAACCTTTGGTGAAAACTAATAAAGGCCGTTACACGTGGAAGAGTCTGATTTCTTCTTCAACCTTTAAGTATAGTTAAGCGATCAGTATCAAATAATTAGGCAAAGGTCAATTTGTATATAATAATCCTGTAGTAACGTATGTTGCCATAATCATTTCACTCCTCACGGGAGATATGAACTCAATAAATTGACCTCGCTCCCAATGTGTGGCTTCATAGCTCAGTTGGTAGAGCAACGCACCGGCAAAGCGGAGGTCACGGGTTCGAATCCCGTTGAAGCCCTGATTGTTTTTTCAGGCTTCTTCTTTCCAATTGCTTAAATTGGAAAATTTACTGCGATGATCATTCTTCACTTTCAAAAACAATCAGGCAACCTTTTTATGAAGTTTTTATTTAAGGAGAGTTCTGAGGCAACGTTTCTTGGCCTTCTCTTTTTAAGTTTAAAACTTCACAAAGAGAAAATCATTTATTGTGAGGAAGCTACATGTACATGTAAGAATTATTTGATTTAGACTAGTGCATAGTTTTATGTTGTGATTCAATTTTATTCTTGGTTTAAATGAATTTAATCTTTATCAAATATCATCATATCCTCGGCTCAAACAAAGGAAAATATAACTTAAACACAAGTAAAATTGAATCACAAAATGTTTTTCCTCGAATCGAAAACAATCCGAAAAAGTTCAAACCCTGTTAAGTTACAAACAGCAAGTTGATAGTCTCAGTGTTTTACACCTAGAACTGGAAGTACTTATATAAATTAAAGAGTGGTATTGTCCCAAGTTCAAACAAAGTTACCTCTTGGACTTTGAAACATTGTGTTATGGCGTTAACCGTATGCTCATGTTTACATGTATACATGATCTCAACTGCATTTTTTACATACCGAACTGTTTTACACAGACTGAACTGCCAGAAGGCCTCAATCAAACGAGACTCAAGTCAATTCTTCAAGGTTATGGAGAATATCCTGCTAAATACAGGTACAGACAGTTAAAAGATGACTTGAATTGAGTTATTGCTACGTGATAATATCATGTACATAAATATTGCTATAATGCAACCCTTCAGTGTTGGTACTGATGCTTTAGCAGCTGACTCAGGACAGTAATTTTATGGCATTTTTTGGCAATTTTTTCGGTGAATTAGCAGAAATCGGCCCCTCCATCAGGAACCCACTTGTAGTGTAACCGTTGTTTTCACTTTTCAGGCGAGAATTGTTTTCCTTCGCAGCCATTCGGCTTTACAGCTATCTCGTTGGGTCATCTTTTTTCGAAGGAGAACTATTAAATTCAGAGAAACAAAGTCACGTCACCAAATCTTGGTATCAAGTTACTAGTAGTGACGTTTCCGATTGAAACTGTCGCATCTCTCAGGTTTACGAGTTACTGCAATGTATAGCGTACGTCGCTCGTTTTGCTTCAATAACTTGTTATTTGTTAATTAAACTTTGTTTACTACTAAACAAACAGTTAGTTAACAACAGCAGTGTGCTAACTGCACTAATTACAATACACAATAACGAAAAGAAAAGGGAAAAAACTTGAAAGGTGGCAACCTGGTAGGTGAGCACAATTTTTCCTTTAAGGGACTAATGAGAAAATTCAGTAACGAGCAGTGCGAAGGAGAAGTTTCAAGAATGTAATATATGCTAAATCATGTTGAAACGATACAGTCTTAAAAGCGAGCAGGTCATTCAGGGATTGGTGCAATTACTCTTTTGCCTACGGCTTGTCGAAAAAAAAATAATGTTGAAGAGAGTGACTTAAGGATACCACTTCTTTCAAAAAGAAAAAAGACTCGAGGACCTTCAACCTTCCAACCTTTCCACTATGTGAACTAAATTACGCCACTACTCTGGGGGAATAACCACACATATTAAAAAACAAACAAACAAAAAAAAAAAAAGAAAAGAAAAAATACAAAGAAGTGCAACTTGCTGGCATATATTGTTTTTGCAGGATGTTCATTTGGCGGTCACTTCTTAAACTTCCCGAGAACCATGCAGCTTACAGTAGCTTAGTAGACAAAGGAACACACACTGCTTTTGCAAGACTGCATGAAGAATACCCAATAAAGAGCAGGAAACTTCTTAGAGTGCTTCAAAGGTTCGTACTGACCATTAACAATCTCCACAAGTCACATACACTATAGACTACGGCAGTCCCTAATTTTCGTGAGAGATTGTAGAGCAAGCAAAATATGCGAGCATGCGTCAAAATCAGCTCCCGCCAAAAGGTGAAACACTTTCCTTAGCCTGCGTTGCTGCGGGATTTGTCACTACCTTTCATTCCACAGGTACTGTTTTGTTTTTTTTAAGCTTGCTCCGCCAAAACAGCACTCCTTCACTCTGATCCCGCTAGCGTAGAAAGCTGGACTTCCATCTATGTATCACCTTCGTCGTGAGTTGCGTTTTACAAGCACGTGTGCGTACATGTATGTTGCTCGCTTTACTATCTCTGGGAAAAAAAGAGTAATCCCCTTATTCGTGGTCCCTGTACATTTTGAATGTACCCAGCAGCAGGCAGTTTATTGCAGTGTAATCTGTTATCAATATTACAACGATTGATTTTTCAATGTCGCAGAAAAGTCACTGGTTTTGCAAAACGTAAGGAAATTTTCTTTTCAGGTTACCCCTAATAAAAGGCTTCGATCAAATGAGTACATGTCCATGTAATCCCCTTACCCAATCAAACAAGCCCCACCCAGCCTCCCATCCCTGCTTTCAAGGATTTGCTCTGTTTGCTGAACGAGTAAACTTTCATTAATGCCCAGTCTACTAACTACAGTGGAACCTCGATATAACGAAGGGCTAAGGGACTGGCACAATTTGTTCGCTGTAACAAGTTTTCCGTTATATCGAGGGTTTTTTTTCATATATTTTAATATTACTGGGGTAAAGAAAATCATTTGTAAATGAGTAATAACTATTTTTTTTAAAATTTGTTTTGTAGAACATTATCAGCATTGGCCCACTGGTCTTCCATATTTGGTGAAGTTGATTACCTTGCTCTTTTGTCCTTTCCATTTGTAAAGCTGTTCCAGAACAATCAATTGATCTGTTTTGAGATGATAGCAACGATCCTCAGTATGTTATGTTATATCTTCTTACAGTAATACTTTAGCCCCACACTCTGCCTCAAACTCTTGAGATTCTTTTTTATAGCCAGTTTTGTTGCCCACGTTATCTTCTTTCTTTCGCATGGAATTGTGGCTGCTTAACGTGGCTCGATATAGTTTTTCAAGGTCAATACCTCTCAAGTTTGAGCGTAAACTACGTCGCCATAAGCAAAGATTTGGAAAAATCGACACCAGAGTTGTATTAGATAAAGATGAAAATTTGTTATGATCAGGGTTGCAATTGCATTGGAGTTGTCATAGCAACGAAATGACGCCATTGCCTATTTCACTTGCAGCAGTATTTCTCGGCACTGGGAACTGTTCTTCCAAAATCGTTTACTGGAGCTTTTTCCTACAATAGCCGCCTCGGTGTTCGTGAAGTTTAAGCGAAATCTGTAAGAGCGTTATCGAGATATTTTGGGAAGAAGTTTTTATGTTTAGAAATACGGTAAAAAATGGACAATCTTGATGTTCGACTGTTACCTGTACTAAACGAAGCGCTTTTGACATGCAATTTCACCTCATAGTTCTTTCAATCGTTTTAAAAACGTGTGTGAAAGATCATGGAGATACCTCCAGCCGATTGCTAGAAAGAAGGATTTGATTAGTATGTATCAAGGCGCTCTTTTTAGCGGTAATGTAAACATTTCGGTCTACTTTAACAAATTAGCGAATAATTTTTAAACCGCTCGATAAATTTTTTAAAAAATTTAAGAATCTTGAGATTAATCGTCCTTTTATATGACCTCTTAGTTTCAAGATTATTGATATATTGTAAGGCAGTAAAATAAGGGCTTGAATTCGCTAATATTTTGTCAAGAGTTTTGTGTTTACAAGTAATAGCCTCTCATTATTCAGGGGTATTGTCTCCAAAATTCATATTTTCGTGCACAACAATAGCTAGCATTTTTGCATATGTCAAATGCATTGTTAGTTACTGCTGTTCACGTGAAAATGAAACCTTGACACAATACCCCTAAATAATCAGAGACTCACACTTGTAAACACAAAATTTCTGGCAAAATATTAGCGAATTGTAGCCCTTATTCTACTACCTTACAATACATCAATAATCTTGAAACTAAGAGGTCATATAAAAGGACGGTTTATCTCAAGACTCTTAAATTTTTAAAAAAATTCATCGAACGGTTTAAAAATTATTCGCTAATTTGTTTAAGTAGACCGAAATGTTTACATTACTGCTAATAAGAGCGCCCCGATACATACTAATCAAATCCTTCTTTCTAGCAATCGGCTGGGGGTATCTACATAATCTTTCACACACGTTTTTAAAAAGATTGAAACTACTATGAGGTGAAATTGCACGTCAAAAGCGCTTCGTTTAGAACAGATAACAGTCGAACATCAAGATTGTCCATTTTTTACCGTATTTCTAACCATAAAAACTTCTTCCCAAAATATCTCGATAACACTCTTACAGATCTCGCTTAAACTTCATGAATATCGAGGCGGCTATTTTAGGAAAAGGCTCCAGTAAACGATTTTGGAAGAACAGTTCCTAGTGCAGAGAAATACTGCTGCAAGTAAAATAGGTAATGGCGTCATTTCGTTGCCATGACAACTACGATGTCATTGCAACCCTGATCATAACAAGGTTTCATCTTTATCTAATACAACTGTGGTGTTAATTTTTCAAAATCTTTGTTTATGGCGACGTAGTTTACGCTCAAACGTGGGAGGTATTCACTCTAAAAAACTGTATCGAGCCACCTTAACTTTCTAGGAAAGGGACAAATTTAGTCTACAAAGAGTAGTAGGTGAATAGCGAAATTGGCAGTGGATTTTCACCAAAATTTCACTAGTTTTTTTTGTGTGTACACGTAACTCTGTCAAGATTGGTCAGAATTTCCAAAAAAAAAAAAGGTTTATGGAAAGATCTATCCTGGCTGATGTTGCTGCTTACCAAGTTAATAGCTAAAACTGAAAGCTAAATGGGTCCAGGACTGAAAATATGCATCATTCCAAATGGAACGAAAACGATCAAAGAGGTTCTCAAAGGCTTTATTTAAGATACCTACATATATGTGTCTGGTGGGTCATATTATTGACACTCTACAAAGTAATTCAGCTTGTTTTTATGCCGAGATTGCGTGTCTTCGTCGTTAATTAAAACATTGAAAGTCACCTGCGAAGGAACTGTGTTTATTAAATAAATCCCCAAAGTATTCCATGATCATCTTGGTCACGGAAAACTTGATACTTTTGATATTACTTTTTCACTAATGTTCATTTTGATACTACTGACGGACACTCTCGTAAGCGGTCAGCTCTACTTATAGCCGCGGCCACAAAACCCCGTTTTAACCTCCATACACCCTCTATTTTTACATACCCGTGAGCAGACATTTTCGTAAGCTTCTCCGGACACTTTCAGGGTTTACGAGTTAGTTTTTAGCGTTGTTTTTAAGCTACTTTAAGTGGACGTTCGAATTGAAATTTCATTCGCCTCTGAATGTTGTATTTTAATATATCAACCTTGAATCACTGTTCGTCACAATCTATTTATATAAGTTTCAGTCTTTGTCTTTTTCACAAACACATCCGGTTATACTTCAAGACACTTGTTAGTTGTAGCCAAACGCTAATATCCAAACACTCTTTTTACTTTTCTAATTTTTATGTATAGCTGGGCAAGCTCCCTTAAACGGATACGAGAACCATTCTCGTAAGCGGCCAGTTCCAGTTACAAACACCTTTTCCGCGTTCCAAGGGTGTCCGCTGACGAGAACTTCCACTTTATTAACTGACATTATTTTTTTGTCGTGAAATGATCAATTTTCTGCAGCAAACTGGTGCCAGCATTGGTTTGAGTTCTTTCCCAACCCTCCTGTAAACATACTCGGCATGGTTGAGAATCTGTTGGTACATCATGACAAGAGAATAATGCAACATTTTGTCAGCTGTAACGTCACTTCACAAGTGAGTCCATTACTTAAGGGAGTTCTCAATTGACATGTTGAAAGTATAAAAAACCTTGGCAGGGTTCTCACTAAGATTTCAGATTGCCAGGTTAATACAACAAGTAGGCGGGGAATCAACTGAACAGCTAGGGATTTCTTTTGGTTCTATTTTTCTTCTATTTTCCTGTGAAAGCAGTCGGGGGCCACGTTCATAGTAGCCGGGGAAAATCTCCGGCCCCCGGCTCTTAATGACTGCCCTGCAGTTGGTTACACAAACCGTGGGACAAGTAATTCCAGGTTATCCAGGCGGCATTTTTATTGCTGTATATTTCACTCTCGAGTTTGCTTTTCTCGATACTTCCCAGTGCACCTTTTTGGCGCGGGAAATTTCGTAGCCACCCCACTGATTGGTTGTTTTGTGATGCTGCTCGCTGTGATTGGCTGAAAGATCTCGTACCATCTTCTTGGCCATTAAAAAGTAAACCAAAACTCGTCTTGACATCAACTGATACTCACTCGCGTTCTCCCGCCTTTTGGCGTCGGCTTATCGGCCGCTACATATAGTCCCGCTTTTTTGACGCCCCTGTTGCCGTTTTCGTCGTGGTTGCTTGCATGAATCTGCCTTGACACGTGATTGTTTTTGTTGTTTTACTGTACGTACCTTAATTACCTTGTTTTTGATATTAACAGTAACGAAAAAACTAATTGTTAAACGTGTTTATGTCCAGTATTACATGCAATCATTGTTTTGTTTTCAGATATACGCCTGGCCGCTGTTACAGACTCTGTTATCAGAGGTGCTTACCAAGGATGAATGGCTTAGAGCTTGGGATAACATCTTTTCCAACCATCCGTCATTCCTTCTATTTGTAGTAGTAGCTTATGTCATCGTTTCACGTAAGGTCCTGCTTCAGTGCTCGAGGAGAGAAGATTTCGAGGTTAGAATGATTTACACTCTAATATGACTATGACACCGATAAATGCCGAAAGCGGCAGCGAATTTTTTATAAGGATCAGTTGGCAAAATCCGTCGGCACCGCTGGAAAGAGCGCCTTAAAGTTAGCAAACTGGCCAAATTGGAAAGAGATACGTCTTAAGTTTACTATGCTATCAGAGAGCTTAGCAACTGCGATGACGACGGCAACGATAACAATAAAGAAAGGCTTACTGAGCAACGTAACAACTCCGTACATGCAACACACAGCTCTTTTTGAACCAAAACTTATAACGCAACTCTTGAAAACCTAGGAAAACTGGAATAATCGCAATGAATTGGTTTGAAAGAAAGGCAACGCTCTCTCTACAGCACTGTTGTTGTTGTTTCACGTGATGAGCGAAGCAAGCTCCGCGAGGGGCGCTCTTGCGTGCCGCTCTCATTTGACTTCTTACTGGACCATATCCCCTCAAATGGAGAGCTTGCTTTCAGGATAAGCGCAATGCAAGCGCAGTATAGGAAGTGCAAAGCGCGGGAAAAAGCATGGTCAAAAGCAACAAACGTAAGTGTTTAATTAGTTAAGACAGATATGCAAGATTTAGTAGCCAATCACAAAGCAGGGCAGTGCGTTACATGGCCACAGCCGCGTCGGAGAACACCGCCTTATGTATCCAAACATTAATTTTTTTCAACACATTTTTTTCCCTCTAGTATTTCTTTCATAACCGGAATGCAGTTGACGTTGGCACAGTAATACGTGAAGCTTATCGTTTACAAGAGAGCACTCCAGCAGAAGTGAACCCAAAGAGAATGCTTGAGCCTTTCACTCCACTCACCAAAGGGCAGTACCCCATCTTTAATAAATACCCCAAGTTTATTGTGGATTATCAGGTGAGCTGTTGACCGTCATTGAATTACTGCACTTTAAGTTCAACTGAAAGTTGCTGGAAGTGAACATTTAACTTAACTACAAGGGCATTTTTTTGGTCTCTAAATGTTTCGTCGGCAAATGTTATTTTGGTGTTCATTGTTACTTTTGTCGGCAGGTCCAAGAAAGGGAACGTATTCGCCAGGAGGAGCTCGAATATTTGAGGCAGCGGTATGTAATGTCTTATGTGGAGACAAACGTCGATTACGAAGATACACAGTGTTGGGTTTATTAAAAAATCTGGGGTCTGTTTTAATTAAACTTTTACAAGTGTAGCTATTGTTTTCAGACTCTTTTTTCGACCTGCTTCCAGATGGCTTGTTAGCTCAATTGGTAAGAGCGCTGCGCCGCTATCGCAGAGGTCAAGGGTTCGAATCCTGAACAAGCCTAATTTTTTTAGGCCTTTTTTCGCAACTGCAAAAGTTGCGTCTATAACTGCGATGATCTTCTTTCATATAATGGCTGCACTTGTAAAGTTTTTATTAAATTGACCCCAGATGTCTAATAATTGTGCCATAAAATAGCCCATTTCCGAGATACCCCAAGCCTCTGTTTCAAAGCGAGGCTAAGAGCGAAGTTATTGATTTGAAAGTGATTTCTTATTTTCATGCAAATAAATTCATTTTCACAAGAAAGGTCTTCCACTTAGCCTTGTTTTGAAAGTGGAACTCGGAAATGGCCTATTCAATGTTTTCAAGCGTTTCGGGTTAGTGCTAGCCGTGTGATTGTTCGCATCTTCCCTTTTTCTCCGCGCTGGTTAAAACCACCCAGAGATAAACTAGTTATCTTACTACCTTCCTTTTGTTGGTCCGTTCTGTAAATCGTGGAACCTCGTTTTCCCTTTCGGATTTTTGGCTTAAAGTGCCAAGAAAAAACGGGCCAAAAAGTGTCGGTCCGTAACTCTCGAAGTCGGTTTGTCGTTACTCTCGGCCAGTGCTATCGCAAAGAGAGTGGAGGTGCCGAAGAAACACACATAAAAAGCAAACGTCTCTAATTGTTTTGACCACCGTAGAGCTGTATTATTTCGAGAGGTCACTGGTGTTCTTTTCGGATTCCTTTTCTTCATCTTTATTTGCATCATTGTCGTAAGCTTTGATTTGTGTTTGGCAGACAACTGGCGCAGGAGATGAAGGAGGTGGCCTCTCAGCGCCAGCAGGAAGAGGAAGCCTTCTACCGACAGCAGGAACTCATGGTAGACGCTGAAAACCAGAGGAGGAGAATGATAAGTCAGGAGGAACAGAAGCTCAGCGATCAGAGAAGCAGGTTTGTTTCGGTAAAAGTTTTTTGTTACATCGTTGTCATTCATGCGCTTGGCGTTTGTCAATGAATTTCTAGCTTGAGGCGACTGCCTCGGTGAAACAGACTGTTCTCCCCTTGGTTTGTTTTAAAAAGGAATATCCACACTGTCATCGTCAAATTGATTCTAGCTCGTTACTACATGAGAAATTTCTGCAATTTGATTGGCTTAGAGCAGTGGTACTTCAGCTTAATTTGAAATACCTACATGTGAAAAATACAAACCTTTTGGGGATAGTAGTATAAACAAATAATAGCATGATTTGTACGTGATATTTGGCATAAATGCCACTCGTGATATTTCAAAATTGCCTTAACTCGCCTAACGGCTCGTGAAATTACGTATAACAATTTCGAAATATCACTCGTGGTATTTATGCCAAATATCACTACTTTTCAAGCTATTACCTATTCAAATAAGAATACTTTTTTCTTAGAAGTGGGAAAAAATTGGAATTAAGAAATTGAATAGGGTCATAAGGCTCGGTCAACTGCAATTGGAAGAGATACTTTAGCGTGGCTTTTTACTACCCATAAAGGTAGGTATAGGCAAAGGCTACTCCAAAAGACAATGCCTTCCACTCCTTTAACGGTCCTGTGCGGCGATACCTTTAAGCATTTGATGCAGTCATTGAAATTTAGTTTGGAATGGTAGGGGTAAATGGTAAATAGCCCTTTTTTTACCTCACTTTCTTTTTTATTTTAGACTGCAAGCAATGAAGCGAGAAATTCACCTGCGTGAGCTGCAACTGCTGGACGCTGTTCGCAGGCGCTTCATGCATCATCAACAGACCCTGAAAGAGACGGAGCTCCAGCGACTTGATGATGAGATAGAACGCAAGGTCGGTCTGTCTGTATACAATAGTGTATAGTGTTCAATAGTGATTCACGGTATTTTAGTGTTCCTTGCAAAAAGACGCACGCGCGCATATTGATATGTAAAGGAAACAATACATTTCGCCACTTCTTACCAACAGCAAGTTGGATTTTATCGTTTCTCCACTTTAGTTCTAGCCCCTCACGTTAATCACTTTTTCAACTGACATGAACCGCAGCCGAGTTTGATAACCGCGTGTTGCCGTCCAAAGTTTGATTCTTTTCCCTCTGTCTCTAACATAACGTTTTTGAGTCGAGTCGCGGAACGTATACGAACATAAGCAATGCTCATTTTCAAACTACAGCAATGAAACAAGATCCATATCCGCTCTTTTGCCTTAAAGTACGTCAAAATAAGTAGCAGAAGACTTCCTTCACTTAATTTGTATAAAGTCGGGAACCTCACTACAACGACCTGCAAGTTTGGGACAGGCATATTGGGCCGTTGCAGGAGGGTGGCCATTTTAAGGAAGTTGCATGTAACGGGACGCCCTGCCAATAGAGCCTTTCTTTCGCAGCTTGCTTGATTTCGGGGTACTTGAGAGAGACTCTACTAAAATCGAATAAGATCTTTGTTAAGCATGCGCTACATGTGGCTAGGATGCAGTTTCGTACTCAGGCCTAATAGCTTGGCGCTTGGTTCAGCGGGCTCAGTTTTTTGTTATGACCATCGGTTTATGAATAGAGAGTTTAAACATTACGTATACGGCAAACGGGAAACGTCAGATTCAAGTTGAGAATGTCTCAAAATAGAAAATGAGCAGATAAAAACAGCTCAAAACAATTCTTATGGATAAAAAACTGCGTGAAACTACTAATTTATCTGTTAAAATAATAAGCAGTAAACGACAAGTAAAGGGAAACTTGGTCACGTGGTACAAATTCGCGTTTGCCGTTAGGCATGAACGTGATGCTTAACCTCTCTAATACACGGATGCTCGCACTCTAAAAACCAGTTTGACGGGGAAAAAAAACAAGATTGACTAGTCCAAAAGTTCGGGCTGCGGCGACCTCAAAGGTTTGACGCTATTCTGGCAGAATGTTTATTTGAAATGGAGCTCAGTTTAGAGGCCATCATTGGGGAGCTTTAGCAAGGACGACAGCGACGGCAACGAGAACTTGAGAAAAGCCGGATAGGTTTGATAAGCAACAGGCAAAAAAACAAGTTCGCACGTGCAGCACGCCGTTTGTAACATTTCTTTGCCATCTATGCATGACCATGGGGAGGAATTTCCTCATGCGACGTCGCATGGAGGACGTATATGTTGCAGTTAATTTGTTATTTCAATAATTTTTGTTTTTCCTTTGTTTTAAATTCATTAGCATACAAAAACATACTCAGAAACAATGGGAAAATAACAATTAATTGAAATAAAAAATTAACTACAACATCTACACACGATCACGAATATTTCTTCTACTCTCTGAAATTTCTGTCTAAGAGTCTCTGTGGTCATGGTTTAACGTCACGATCCTCATCTGTACTTTGTGTTATTTATAGGCTTTGCTAAGAGAGCAAGAAACGAGGCATGCTATTGAAGATGCAGAGATTAAAGGACTGGAGCTTCAGGCACAGAAAGAGATGCTTCAGCAGGTTAGTGAGATGATATATCACTGATCAGATATTTGTTTAAATTTTAGGTGATCTGATGTGATTTGCATCTAATTAAGTTATCATAATGTAACTACTTGATCAGATGGATAGGTAATGGGAATAAATGAAATCACCTGCGATAAAATTTCTTGATTGTTTTACAAATTCTCCTCATTAGCCAGAAGTAATGAGTGACTGCCATAAGTAATGTGTGAATAAGATGCATGTTCATATTAGTGCTTGAGGGGTTCACATCGGTTTTCTGCCGACTTCTTAGCCTAAGTAGCTGCTGTTGCAGGGCGGTGAAGGCAACTTCATTCGCGGCGAAGATGGCGAGGAGTAAAGGAGAAACCTAATTCCGTCCTTCGGGCTCATGCGCATGTCACCGGCTTCCCCCAGCGTTAGGACCCCGGGCCAACCAGGGGATAATCATTGTAGTCTGCGTAGCTGGCTCAATTTTTCGCGCGCAACTGTTAACAAAGACCACAAAATTTTGTATTCTCCTTTAAATTTTCTTTGAAGTTTGAACAAAATGTCCACAGGGGCAGAGAAACCAAACCATCCCCTTGTTTCCCCGCAACATCCCCCTGGGGTCCTACCCCAGGGGAAGCCGATAACATGTGCATGGCTTCCCCGAGCTGTATCGAGTTTGCCAGCTACGGAGGCTCTAAAACGTTTACCATATTCTATTAAGCCAAGGTTGTGCCTCTGTTTTATTTCACGTAGGACCTGATACGTGATGAACTACAGTCCTCGTTTAAGCAGCGAGCAGAGCAAACGGTCCATAGAAAACAACAAGAGTTGGAAGGTCAGCTATTTAAACGAACCATGGACGCTGTCCAGGAGGTCGACATTGATTCGCAAAGGGTAAAGATACATCTAACTCGTTCTGCAATGTTAAGTCCCATTAAGGTAGAGGGAAGCAGAGAAAAATTTCGAAAACTTCTTTTGGTAGGATTTTGGAGCAGCTAGGATGGCAGGCATAACAGAATATTGTATGCCAGAATGGGCTGCCGGTTTGAAAACGTTGTACGTTGTACTTGATTCATCTAGAGTTGATTTCTATTTGCTCTTTTTTGCGGAATAACGACAATGAATGCGCCCTTATTCTTCTTGAGAGACTGCCTGCTATTTGTCCAATCTTGCGCATTTAAGCTTTTTTTTGTTAGTTAGTTTTATGGGTCGAGTTCAAATGTTACCTTCCCTTTGAACGCAGGGACAGGTGAATTTCCAGTTAACAAACAGAAAGCCACACTTTTAAAACGTATTTTTTATAACCATAAAAGGCTGTAATAATGGCCCATTGGATAGACCCCGAGTTTTTTTGACCTTGGGGCTTTTGTTTTCCCTTTCAGACCGCGGAGAAACGTCTAACTCTCATATGTTTGCTTTAGGCCTCTTCCACACGCATCCGAAATTTTTGAATCCGCAACTGTTCCTTTCCAGATTAAAACATTTCCACGTCCACGCGTATCCGCATTCAAATCGAATTTGCCCATCCACACGTATCCGACACGTATCCGGACTCACTCTAGTACCCAGGACTCCTCTGGAAATATTGGCAATAGAGCATGCTTCGTAAAGCGTGTGAAATTTGCATCTTGCTCTGCCTTGAGAGAACCTGGGAACGAGGTTGCTTTCTTGAATACAGTATTCACGGTAAAGAACTGGGCTCGTTCTCGTTACGTCGCCGGATAAAAAAATATCCGGATTTAGCGTCCACACGATTCCCGATTTGTGGCGTATTCAAAAATTTCCACTCTGGAGAGTGGATTCCAAAAGTTACGGATTCGTATGCCGGATTCACCGGATACGTGTGGACGGAAACATAATCCGCAAAGAAAAAAAATCCGGATTCAAAAATATCCGGATACGTGTGGACGGGGCTTCAATTTCTCCGACGCTCGTAGATATTCATTTTCGCAAGTACCATATTTGGAACGAGAAGAAAAGATAACTGACCAATCAAACTTTGTAAACGACGTAACGAAATTGTACTCCACGTTCCCGCGCCCGCCCCAAAAAATTGGGATCTTAAGCAACAATGACGGCGACGTTCAGTCCGTCAAATGTCAGCAACTTTTTCTGAGTTGAATTTTAAAGACTGTATCGAAGTTCAGGAAAAGAAAAAAAAAAGTCGTTGTCTTCTGTTTTTGCCCTCCACAAACGTGAAACTAGGCACTTTTACGCCGTAGTCGTGCGGTGGCGGCAAAGAAATGTTCCAAAACGCGCGATGCACGTGCAATGTTGTTGTTAAACCTATTGCTTTTTTGAGGCCGCAGCGAGGGTTTCCAAATATGGTACTAAGAAAAATGAATATTCACGAGCATTGAACGCGAGGTACGCGTTTCGACACCTCATGAGTTTTTGGACCGCGCGATGTTCTCAAGTGAATTTCTCTTCGTCTCTCTATAAAATCTGCATTTGAATAGTCTGAAATTTGAAAGAAATGGTTCTCTAGAGTAACTGCGGGATTCAGAAACGAGTTAGCAAATAACCTACGGCAAGAAGGTCTGTACCAGAGTTAATGATGATTTATTTTCAATCAGATTTCCCAGCAGGAGTTAGCCAAAGCTCAACAGACACACGCTGATGTCAACATGGAGACGGAAGTTGGATTCAGAACCAGAATGGACGATCTTCATCGAGAGCTTAGTGAAGTTAGGGTGAGTGTTAAATACCGAAGAACAACAACAGCAACAACAAACAACAAGAAACGTCACTCAAATCAGTGAAAAAATACTAATACAAAATTTTAAAAAAAGTGCCCCCTTTAATTTTTGCGTATAGGCATTTTCTGTCTTTAAGGAACTTATTTTTCGTATACGTAACTGGTGGGTTTTTACTATTGGGCATTTTTTGTTTTGCGATTTTCACCAAATTGCGTACAACGACTTGCGTTTATCTGAGTACAGTTTGCAGTCAAAATCATGTCTTTTTTTCCGTCTTGGCGTGTAGCCTTTTTCAGGCGTTCAGATAGTGCTGCTCAATTCTTTTTGCTCCCTCCCCACAGTCTGAACGCCTGCAACAGACTAGTAGACAGGAGTTCGCGCTGATATTTGACTTGGTCTCCAGAGCCGTTAACTCCCCTCTGATCAGTATTGTTGGTTTGCACGTGACGTCACGGCGGCCATGTTGGCGGTCAAGAACAAGAGTATTTCTCTCCTATGGGAATTAAACTCTATTTTCATATTATTTCTTGGAGAAAAAATTACATTGTTTTGACTGCCAACATGGCACGTGGCTGCAAACCGAGAATATAAATGGCGACTCTAGGGGAAATGGTGAAGTATGAGCAGGGCTTTTATTGCTCTAGCTTGCTTTAAGCAAGGTTAAATTAATCAATGGTAAGAGGTTATTTTAAATGCACAAAATTTCCTTGCAAGTTTATTTTGGGTAAGAATTTGTCTGTAGCTGCCCTTTTCGAGTATTGCTTCCAAGAACATAAACAGTTGGCTAACATAAATTCGTGGCTTTGTAGGCCTTACCTGCATTCGAACAACTGGTTGAAGGCTATTTTAAAAAAAGCCGCGGTTTCGTCTCATCCTTGGTGTAAAAACCTGCGAAACTCACGAGTGACGTAAAACAATGAATACCAAGAAGCCACTGAGAAGTCAACACAATAGATCCAAGGACAATAATAGCTAGAAAACAAAGAAAAACTTCACAGGTTTTTATACTACTACATGAAAAATTACTGCAATTTGATTGGCTTAGAGCAGTGGTATTTCAGCTTAATTTGAAATACCTACATGTGAAAATTACAAACCTTTTGCGGGTAGTAGTATAAACAAATAATAGCTTGATTTTTACGTGATATTTGGCATAAATACCACTCGTAATATTTCAAAATTCTCTCAAATTTCACTCGCCTAACGGCTCGTGAAATTACGTATAACAATTTCGAAACATCACTTGTGATATTTATGCCAAATATCACTACAAATCATGCTATTACTTATACTAACACCGAGGTAAACCCGCGGTTTCTCTGTGGAGAGCGAGTGAGATTTTTTTTCAACCTACATGCTTCAAGTTATTTATTAATTGTTTGTTTGTTTATGTTACCTCAGGTTGCTCAGCAAGTTTTGGAGAACAAGGAAAGAGAGAACGAAATTCAATCACTTGTTCATGAGCTGCGGAATAAAGAGGTGGGTAGTCAAACAGTGCTCGTTCCTACATTCGATTGAATTATTTTTCATTGACTTGCTGCTTAGTGGAGCTAATTCGCACGATAAATCTATCTTAATTTAGGTCACGTGTTTCATCGATTACCTAGCCTGAGTACCAGATATCCCTTAGGGGTTAGGGAAGGGAGATTTAAGCGGCGGGAGCGTGGGGAAGAGAAGCTGTTTCCCTTTGTCGCTTCTTTCTTCTCCTTTCTACCCAGAAGCGTCTGATACTCATGCAGGCTATCGTAAAATCCCTTGTAGAATGACACAGTCGCCGCCAAACAGTCTGAGCTGAGACAGCAGAAAGCTCTAACTGCTGAAGAGGACAGGAGGCGCATGAATCTACTGAACGCTTTACAGCGGGATTACACCACAACAAGTGATGATTCAGAGTCATTCTGTAAGTGCAGCTAGCTAAGCGTGCAGTTAGTTAAAGGTACCCCTGCACGCGTTATGCTGGCAATCAGCTTGCCAGTCTATCGCATTAATCAATTGTAACACTGGCTTTTAAGTGTCATAGTTTCCTTTTATACGCAATCCAAATCTTAGGCTTTATCAGACACGTCGCACTTACATACTACAAAGTTGTATCGTAAGGGGCGGCCTTATGGGCAAACTTGGATAGACTATTTTCGAATCCCCCGCCGTACACTCACACTCTTTTTGCAGCCCAAATTTTGCATTAGTTTTCAAATGCTTTTGGGAATATGCAGTCCTGCCAAGAGCATATGAAACCAATAGTTTTTGCAAAATTTGGGGGGAGGGGGGTCACTTGCAGGCCCACAGATAAGACACTCGTCGACGTTTTGAAAATAGTTTGCTACTGTATTTCACACCCATAACGTGAAACAACGGGCGAAGAAGTGGCTAGCTACTAACGGAGGGCAGTTATTTCTAATAGCCCTGAATGTCTTGGATTATCATACATTTCTGGGAAACTGCGCACCTACCCCTCCCCTAAGTCAACATTTTGCCCGAAGTTAAAAAGTAAGTGTTAATGTTGTCTTAGGGGAGGGGTAGGTGGGCAGTTTCCTAGAAACGTATAATGATCCAATGTCTTTAACCTAGCTCGCCTGAGGGACATTCGTCAAGTTCCTATGGAGCCTAGGAGACCTTTAAGTGCTATCCAACCCAGTAACACGGACAGTAGCTCAACTACGGACTGGGACGAGACGAGTGGAACTCCGATCAGTTCTCAAGGTGAGTACTAGTTATAAGTAACGTGCAATGGAAATTTTTAGAACTCCTAACGTCGCCAAATCTTTTTATATTGGATTAAAAAACCTTAAGGTAAAAAACTGAAGAAATACGGAATCGCGAATTGCGAATTGGCGCATCGTTCAACCTGTATTTACTGTAACGTTTAGAGACTTCAGACAAAGCGAGTAAAATCGTTATTTATGATGCAAATCGGTCGTACATAACTTTGGAAACAAAGAGGTGTAGTACATGTAGTAAAGTATTTTTGCAAAGCCATCCTTTTAGGACTAAAATTCTTTAAGTGTTTCTCTTGTGCTTTTAATTGGTAAGCTCAAGTGTTGATCTTTTCGTAACGAAACGTTTTATCCTCGCTTTGGTCTTTCAGAACCGTCGGTTGCACGCCAGCGGGAAACGTTTGAAAAGCGTGAACTTGAACTTATGGCCGAGGTCCGAGATCTTAGAAAGCGACTAGCAGCCAGAAGACAGCAACGAGCACCGGACTTTGTAGGACATAACCAACAATGATTACTAGCTGAGAATTAAGCTTTCTTTTTACATTAAAATTCTTTGTAAATATATTGGCATTGTACATGAGCAACTCTTCAGAAACCTATGTCCGATTGTCCGGAACAGGTAAAAATTTAGTTCGGACATACAAAAAAAATACAGGAAAAGTTGAGAAAATTGACTTCAAATTACAGTTCAATTAAAATTTATCTTCTTAATCATAAAAGCAAACCTCATGCTGGACGAAATAAGGTTTAAAATATTCCCTTTAACTTCGCGATTCTGCGGCCATTTTATTTGTTTTTACGTGCTCCGTTTGGTTCAGGAACCTGGCCCTAGTAATCAGGCCTGTTAAGAAGTTGCTGATATTATATTTAGGTTTAAGTCAAGAACAATTTGCGAGGCTAATAATGTGATTAAAAACATTAAATGTCCGACTGTTTTTAAGTTACCAGTTTTGAGTTGAGTCGCTGTTTTCGTCAAAGTAGCCTTTGAAATTACAAAATTTTTTTATTTATATGTTTTCGTGTTTTTCGAAATCGCGCAAGTCTGCTTGCGTTTAGCCGGCTGTAGAGTGTATGAGGGTCATGTATAGAACGGATGGGTGATAAAAATATTTCGAAAAAAAAAAGAAAAAAAGTAGCAAATTTGTCTGCATTAAGTCCAGTCTTCAATTCATGAATATTTTATGCCCTTTTTGTAGAAATTTCAAAATTTCTCGAAATTCCTCTTATGGGTTAATTTTTGTGAAACTTTGCACAACAGAAGACAAGCACCCAAAGTATATGTAGCGTTAAGCATTGCTGAAGAAAATGCTGATAAGGGCTGCAATTCGATTAGAGCCGAAACTATTGTGACGTCATTGTCACGTGATATTCCGATCGCCCAAAAAATAATATCATAATCAAATTTAGTCTGTGTGTAATACATCTGTTTTAAAGGTTTTACAATAAAGATAAGTTTGTTTCAGTCTAAGAGATTCGAAGATGGAAAGTACACCTACAAAAATACTGAGTCGAGCCACCTTAACGTTAATAAAACCTATATTTTTCAACACAAGCAAATACTTTGTAAGAAGTGTCAGAGGTGATTTGTTTATTCTTCCTACCATCTTACAAGATAGTAATCATTTACACAATCTTAAATTTTTAACTGAACTATTAGCCACCATATCAAACAAGCAGTTCAGAGAAACAGGGCAAATCAAAAGTCTAACATGTATGTTACATCGCGAAACCCTTTTAGATACAGGGGTGGGGAGAGAGGGGAAGGGGCTGCTCTATCGGGTGGTACAGGGGAACCGCCTTGGGACACTTCTTTTCAAGGGACCCAAATTTTGGTCCCGGAAAAATGTTCAAAAGGAAGCGACTTTTTAAAACGTTTAGCTGTAAAAAAATTGCGTAAAAACGTTTCTTAAAACATTTAAGAAACTTTTATAAGAGTTAAAAAATACACGATGTTTCGAGGTTCTCGGACGTCATTATCAAGTAAAAAATATAGAGTCTGAAAAAAAAAAAAGAGAAAAATGTTTTCATAATCTTTTGTTTTTGTGACCTCTTTTGAAGGGAAACCACGCACTATTCATGGGAAGGGAACACTACTTTTGGTTCCCAAAACCCGGGTTTAACCTCTATTCAGAGGACATCTTAACACTGAGAACGTGGCTGACCACAAGAAGGGTTGGAAAGTGTACACTTGTCACAATGGTGACAGATTTCACAGCATCTCACTTAAATCGGTGTACTGCCCTTTTGGGATTCAACACAAAATAATTATCGCATAAACAAGTCAATGATAGTTTTTTATATACATCTAGCTGTTTGAAATAATGTCTGCAGCAGATTCCGAGGCATTGAATATAAAAAAATATATTTTATTTGTTGGTTAATTGTAAAAAAAACCAGCACAACCTCTATTCATGGGACATTTCCCTTGGTAAACGAGGGTGTCCCCTGAATAATCCCCTGAATAGAGTTTCCACTGTACTTTAGCATTCTTAATTGATTCAAACTATACACTGTGGACGCCAAAACCTCGTTAATATCAGACTTTCGAAATACGCAGAAAAGTGAGAAAAAACGCAAGTAATGTTTTGAGTGACGCTTTCACCGATGTTATTTGGTGGTTCCTTGAGCTCCCTATTAACACGTTTTTTGATCTATGTCGGTTGTCGGTAAATCTCATGCAGTTAATAAGTTAATGATTCATATTAACTTATTAACCCCCATATTAACCCCATTCAGACCCTCGAAGAAGTGTGAATGAGAAAAGTATTCGACAGGCCCGCCATGTATTTAGTGTGGAATGAACCTCACCATGGAACTGAATTGAATTGCAGGAATAAAAGGGGGGATCCTGAAGCGGTTGTTTCCAGTAGATTGATGCAAAGTGACAGATGATATACCTCTATATCCATACTGTCGCTCAAGCTCTTGAAAGTTGAACTTGTACGTGTATTTTTGGCCTCTAATCTTGGTCAACACTTTCTTGTGGTAGTAATAACGTAGTGCCCGACTGAACTTTTGGTAGGTCATGTTTCTTCGGCCATTCCTTTCTCCCCACAGCTGTGCCGCTTGTTCAGGGCGTATGATAGTGAACTGCCCGTCCATCCCCTCCCAGGACATAATTGAAGAGAACCAAGGATTGGACAACATGTTGAGAATGAACTCGAGCAGCTGGGACCGGGTTTTCAACATTTTGTCCACCAATCCTTTGAAGTAATTGACATTAAATGTTAGTCCACTGACGTTGTTTTACGGTGCTTTTAATTGAGGATTTGAACACTGAACTAAACAACAACATCAACAACAACAATATGCCTGCTACGGTCAAGCCCCGTTAACAGACACTGAAGGCATCATAGAGGGTGTCCGTATTAACGGGATGTCTGTATTAAGCGGGTCATATTATTGAAGTAAAAAAAAACCCTTTTTACTAGAACAAAATCACAAAGGAATAAAAGAGGACATTAGCATCATCGAATTAAAGTTAAACCTTCACAAAGCTGTCATTACGCGGCTTTAGTCCACGGAAACAGAGATCTGGTCTAACTTAGTTTTCGTTTAAATAATGGACCCTGAGGGTTTGAATCCCGTACCAACGTGAATTTTCTTTCATGCTTTCTTTCCGCAACTGCAAAAGGTGCGTCTGTAACTCGTAATATCTTCTTTACATTTGATACTGCATCCCGGAATTCCTATATACCTTATTACAGGAAATTAACGATGCACATTGACAATGCGAAGAAAATTTACGTTACACAAAATTAACGCGAATTTTTCAAAAGTTAGGTTTACATGCATCAAATTAACGCGGAATTTCGAAAACAATGTGCCCTAACTTTATTTTTCGCGAATTTGCTGCAATACAGAGTTCTTAGCATACATATCTAAAGGACAAAAAAAATAAACGTAAATGGAAATCTTAAGAAGAAAGAATGACGAAGTTAGCTATCCCCTCGGGGAAACGGATCAGTACGAAGACCAGTCAAAAGACATGCATTTGAACTCAATTCTTAAAGAAGAACTGTCGGATTGCCTTGATAGAGGAAATATGAGCAGACGAGGTTTTGTTATTGAAATAAAGGTGCTCTAAAACGATGTAATATAGTGTGATTTAAATCAACATCGATAAAATTAAGATGCATTAAATTAACGCGAATTTTTAAAATTCCGTTAATAAAGTGCATCGTTAATTTCCTATAATAAGGTATGAATTTCATGTTCATATTCTTTATTTCAAGGAAATGAATTTATTGGTGACTCAACCTGCTCTGAAACCAAACTTTTTATTAAAATGCATTCTTTTTCTTAGTGGCCCGCTTTGCTAGGTTGTTCCTATTAATGTGATTACAAGAAAATTTACCCTACTTTCTCTCTCTTTTTCCCCTTCGCATGCCATAGGAGCGCTTTTCAATAAATTTGTCCAAACCTAGTTAACTCACCATTTTCTAGTTGACAATCGTCACTGCAATGGAAGGAACACTCAAAATCAGCTTCTTTTCCGACAAGAAAATTCATTTCAGCTTATAAACGATAAACTCACGCAATGAGTGGCAAGTTGATGGATACAGTGTTGATATTTTCCAGTCGGTTTATATGTTGTAACTTGTCCAAATAAGCAGCTTTTAATCAACCTATCACAGTCTAGTGAAACCCCTATCGCCACCCAGCCCATTTGACGTCATAAATAGTGACGTCATCACTGAAACCACTACTCGTATACTTAACTGACCAATCAGAAACTAAAATATCCTTAGTAACAACATACGTGATCGGCGACAGACAATAAACATCTTTTTGTTGCTCTAATGTATGTCGTCATCAAGAGCGGTTTGACCAATCTACAAATGGGAGACAGCTATGTTGTAGTAGTTAAGTTTGTTGCCATGGTGATTATTGTCATGGAAACTGAATACCTGTGTACATATTTTGACCCTTATCCCAGGGCTGTGCAGGTGTTTTAAAAACAAGGAAGTATCTGTTGCTATGTTTTGTAAAGTGTGTTGGCATTTTAAAAAAGGGCTTGCGTGGTAACTTACGAATTCATGTGTTATGGTTATTTCTTAGTTGCTATGAGAATCGAATAACACAACTCAAAATAACGTCCGGTCAACGGAGAATTATGGGTCCGGCCAATGTGAACATTATCCGGACAAACTTTCGCAGTTTTAATGGTCATTTTGACGGACACGTAAATAAGTGATCAGAAAAAATAAATACGTTTTCACATCACTGCAATTGAAGAGGACAAGCCTCTTTTTGGACTCCATTTTTTCCTTGTTAGGCTAGCGTTCAAGTTATTATTGTGTTATTTTTGACATTTTGACTGTTCAAAAGAAATACGGGACCGTAGTTGGATAACCCCACGAGTGTTCAATAAACACAACAGATCAATAACCACTCCAGTAGTTCAATGACCACACAGTTCATTGATAGTAGACCACCAACTGTGGGGGAAAAGACCATTAGTACATTGGGTTTAACAATACAACTTTGCTATATTAAATAGAAAATATGCATTTATCAATGACATAAAATAGCTATGGTACAGTTATTTGGTTCCGGCAGGTTCCGGTGAGCTCACTAACGTAAACAGGAACATAGACAGATGTTTTAGATTGAAGGCCTGTCATTCTCATCAGGGGCACTGTGAGCAGACCTGAAAAGATAGTCAGCGCCAAAAGGAAACGTTAATTCGGTTCGAAAGCAACCTTAATCCAAAATACTCTATTGACTTGATAAAGCGCGCGCGGAGAGAGCAGAAAAAATATAACGTTTAACGACTGAGAAAAAGTTAGATTTGTCTGATTCTTTTCCTGCACGTTTCAAACTGTGGTCCTAAATTGTGGAAAGAACCTCACTGGGGATGACTGGCTGGAAATGCATCACAATTGTAGGCCGTAACGGAGGGAATCATGTATTGGCTGTTTCCAGTGGGCTGATGAAAAGTGACAGATGATATACCTCTATATCCATACTGTCGCTCAAGTTCTTGAAAGTCGAACTTGTACGTGTATTTTTGGCCTCTAATCTTGGTCAACATCACTTTCTTGTTGTAGTAATAACGCAGTGCCCGACTAAACTTTTGGTAGGTCATGTTTCTTCGGCCATTCCTCTCTCCCCAGAGCTGTGCCGCTTGTTCAGGGCGTATGATAGTGAACTGCCCGTCCATTCCCTCCCAGGACAAAATTGAAGAGAACCAAGGATTGGACAACATGTTGAGAATGAACTCGAGCAGCTGGGGCCGAGGTTTCGGTACTTTGTCCAAGGAACCTGCGAAAGGAATTGAGATTAATTCTTCAACCGGTTGTTTTATCATGCTTTAAATTGAGACCAAGACCTAATCAGTTTGCACAACTACCTCATTTCATTGTTCCCTCTCATCCGCGCATGCTTAACTCAAGAAATATAATGTATACAAGACAATTCGTTTTATTGTTCCCTTTCATCCCGCCGGGGTCACAGCCATTGTTTTTGGCTGACGAACGTCTTGGCTGTTTTTGAAATGACGTTTGTAAAAAAATGCACCGAAAGAATTTCCATTCAGTTTATCCCTTTTCATGGCCCGTCATACCTCTTTACTTTAAACAGGAAGGAGAACATTTTAATTATTTGTGACTAAGTTCGCCGTAAAGCCCAAAAGTTAATGTTTTTTTCTTGCTTGTCTGCTCTGACATGTTATTCACGAGACCACATGAACATTCACCCCGTTTCTCCCCCCCAGCTTTTGAATAAAATAATCCAAAATACTTTGCAACTCACCATTGTCATTACAATCAAAGGAGCACTCAAAATCAACTTCGTTTTCCCGAAGAAAATTCATTTTTCATCCATAAACACCACAAGTTGAGAGTTCACAGACGTAGCGGTTGATGTTCTACGGTGGGGAAATAAATTGTATCTTGTCCTTATAGAGCGGTTTTCACTTGACTGTCGAAAGTAATTGAGGAATTGGTTTGGTTTTGGTTTTACTACGCCCTTTGGTTGGCTAGTGTATTTACTTTGGTTTTGGTTTTATGACAGTCAAGTGAAAACCGCTCTAAGCAGCTTCCAGCGGACCAATCAAAGCATAGTGAACATCAATCGAAGCCCAACCCATCTGATGTCATAGAGTAGTGACGCCACCAGTACTATCCGTACTAGTATATTTGAAAGGACCAACCACAAACTAAATTATCCTTGGCAACGACACACCTCTTTGGCTACCTAACAGTAGACAGGTGTTTGTTTTTCTAATGTCGTCATAAGGTGCAATTTGACCAATCTACGGAGAGGATGATGTGTTGACATGTAAGGTATAGTCTTCCATGATAAATGAACAGTCAGTTGCTGCGAGAATCCCATGACAACATTCCTTTTTGTTGCCCACAATATTTATCGGTATTTGTGCTGAAATAATATATGGGATATCGGAATTTTTTACGAATACCTTTAATTTCCGATTTAATTAATAATCACTCTCAAGTTACAGAAACAGGATATTTCTTTTCTGCTATTTCTGTGTAAAGCCCTACTTAAAATTTGTTGAATATAAACCTCTTGATAGACTGTTCCAGCTTTCCAGTGAACAAAGGCATCAGCTCGATGCTTGGGATGACGAACAATACGGTGGCCTTGACCTTTTTCATGAAATACGCATTCCTTAGCAACACATCGCCAACATGACATCGTCGAATAAATTGTGTTGCCTTCGCAAATATCTGGTGCTTATCAGGTTGCTGAAAAACTGTTCAAACTGACTAATCCAAATTGAAATAGTCTTTGGCATCTACTCTCTCTGTTTGGCGTCATAAAAAAACAAGATTTCTTACTCCAAGGTCACGATCAATCGATGGAAAGCGAAGTCCGCCATGTTTTAAAAAGAGTTGCCATGGAAACTTGTAACACGTTTTAACTTGTTTTTTTATTTCTGTAATTCGTTTACATGGAGACCACGGAAGCAACAGATACCTTTCAAAATGTTTTGAAAAGTTGGTCGGTAATTTAAGTAAAGGTTTCCATGGTAACGTAGTGATATTTAAATAATCATATTCTCTTAGTATGGTCTGCAAAGTTGCCATGAGAATAAAAACATACAAAACTTTTTAATTTTTTTTTCTATCCGATACGAAGGAAAATACGTTCATTTGAAAACGATTTTCATTTAATCTTTTCTCCCACTCTAAGAAAATAAAGGAGAAGCAAAAAAAAAAGTT